TTCCCCCCCCCCAAAAAAAAAAAAAACTCTTTCTTTCCCCCAACCAACAACCCTAACCCCAACAAAAAAAGAAAAAAGTAAAACACACACAAATATGTAGACATAGGGGAAATGAGAGATGATTGGATGGAATATGTTCTAGCCTATGACACATAGAAGTGAAACCCGCGTAAGAAGTTAGCATTTGATGTTTCATTGAGTAATCATATGCAAGTAGAATTCATACAGAACTTCATATAAAATTGTTGTCTCATTTGGATCCTTGTTATTTTTAACCAAAAGGACCATAGTGTGGTTCAGAGTTTGAGAATGCTCCTGCTACATTATACGGAATTAAAATTCTTTGATATGGTGTTTTTGTCTAGCATTTCCTTTTGAGTTTAATTGGATTGAGCTGTCAGTGTTGGGTACCAAACCTGAATTCGACTCTTACGTCTGTCACTCCACCTCCTTTTCTGGTTTCATCTCTGACTTACCCTTTAATTGCTTTTTTGTAGGTTGAGAAGGCCCAGGTTCAATATGAAAACCTCACAATATCATCAGCGTGTGAGGCTGTGCTTGAGATTGGTAATGCTGGAAATTTGTACATGGATGAACATGCACCATGGTCACTTTTTAAGCAAGGGGGTGCTGCTTCTGAAGCTGCTGCAAAGGTTTTCTTTTCCCTATTTATTTATATCTTTGACAAGATTTGCTGGTACTGAAATTAAATGATGTTCAAATCTTGAATTCACAAAAAGAGTGTCAATGGAAAAACTCAGCAATCCATTGCTGCTCAACAATGTTTGACCAAATGCAATGTCATTTATAGAGCTTGGACTCCCTTGTAGACAACAACTTGTTAACAAGTTGGAGATGTCCATTGTATTAATACCTACAAAAAGAAAAGCAAAAAAGGAATAGAATTTCATTGTCAAAAGTGGCCAGTATTTTTCTTCTTCTTCTTCTTCTTGCCATACCCCATAATTTTTATTATTCTCATCCTCGTTTGAAACAGGACCTTGTAATTATATTGGAAGCAATGAGGATTATAGCAATTGCGTTGTCCCCAATCACACCAAGCTTATGTTTGAGAATATATACCCAGCTTGGCTATTCGGAGGACCAATTCAATGCTGCTACATGGGTCTCTCTCTCTCCCCTAGCCATGTATATTTGTAAGGCAATCTTATGTATAGAACCTTAACCAAAAAAATTTCTAACTTGCTTGCTTACGATTGCAGAGTGAAACCAAATGGGGTGGACTAAAGGGTGGTCAGGTTATGGATAAACCAAAACCTGTCTTTGCTAGAATCGAAAACCAAACAGAAGGGGAAGATGGAGGTGAAGCCACAAAGAAAGTAGGTAAGAAGAAGGAAAAGATACCACAAAGTCAGAGCATGGCTGGGGCCTAGAAATTTTGGCTTGGAATCATACATTTTTCATCCTCTTTATGTATAATCTGTAACTGATTCAGTTTGCATTACCACTTTCTTCTGTCTCTATTTATTGATTCATTGTTGGATCAGGAATAATTTAGTTAATCACTTGGTTTTGTGAACTGCTCTTTCCTCCTTAGTTTAGCATACTATGTCTGGTCATATACACAGGCTCTGTCCAACATGACCGTGTTGAAGTGGATGATCATCTAAGGCTATCTCCAATTTTAACTCAAATTTAGACTTAAATTTAAATTTAAATTTAAGTCAAAAAGGCCCAAAAAAAAATTCTCCAATCTTAGATCCAAACTTATACTAAATCAAGGAAAAACTTATTTTGGACTTAAATTGAGGAAGACTCAAATCTTATATCAAAATTTCAAAGTTCTTGCCTTTTCTGTCTCTATCTTCCAAACTTAGAAGACTCTTTCAATGGAATAAATTCTTAGTCTTTTCTACCTCTATCTTCAAAGTTGTTGCCATAACGTCTCACCACATTACCTAACCTTCAAAGGTAATTTTTTACTCTTATATTTCTCCCTCTCTCCCTGTCTCTTTACCTTTTTTTCTCTCATAAACTCTCATTCTCAAAAAAATCTCACTCTTGTAAAAAACTTCATGAATCTACCATTCAAAGAGGTTAGTATTCCTGCCTTTTCTTTTGGTTAATATTAGTAAATTTTGTTAAAAACAAGCTTTAATATTGGATAAAATATTTTGACGGAAAAATTACAAATAATGAGTGCCCAGATATTGATTGGTAATAGAGCAGTATTCCAGTGATTTTGACCATGTTATGGAGCCAAGAAAGACAAAAAGATCTGCTCTTTTTGATCGTAACAAGGCATGGTGGATAATCAAAGGGCATTGACCCTACCACTTCCCAAATATTTCAGTTACATATCCCTCTATAGTCTGACATAATGAAAACATACTTGTACCATTTATTCAACATCACCATGTATAAAGATAAAAGAACAAAAATGAAAAAAGTAAAGCTATGGAAGCATATAAAATCCGGATCCAAATATCTCCTCAAGAACTTCATCAGATCATCAAGACTTTGCCATTTTAGACTTTTCTGCAGAGCTCAGACCTTCTTTGGAATTCCAAGCCTTTTGCGGAAATCTTCTTCCATGAGGGGAAGGCCCTCGCGCAACTTGATCTTTGGTTCCCAACCTAGCAACTCCTTTGCCTTTGTGATGTCTGGTTTTCTCTGGCGGGGATCATCTGGTGTGTTCTCCACAGTAATGATCTTCACTTCTGGATGGATAAGCTGTAAAATCACACAAAATATAAGCAAACAGATGTTATGTGATCCCTAGAAGAAGAATGACAACAACCTTATCTGTTACAACAGCAGCATGACACCTAAAACTTCTACTTGACTTAAAAAGAGAAGATGGTGTTACTCTCTCTCTCTCTCTCTCTCTTTTTGTTAAAAAAAAAAAGGCGAGCAGTAAGTTTGACTATGCATGAACAAGTTCAAAACTGACCTCCTTGACTGTCTCAGCAAGTTCAAGCATTGTAAATTCACCTGATAGTTAAAAAAATATGAATTAGTAATGGCCACAAGATCATAATTTCTGCAAAAGAGTTACAGAACTTGACAATGAAAAGTGAAAAACAAAAAAGAAAGAAAAGGAAAAGGACTGAAAGATTGTATTTAAGCACACATATTATTGTGCTTCAAGTCAATCAAAATAACCTGGGTTCCCAATGTTGATTGGCCCAGTATTATCTCCTTCCATAAGTCGGATCAGACCATCAACCTTCAACATTTGGAAAGAAGAGTAGTAAGGCAACATAGAATTCTATAGTTATAACACACTTGAGATTCAATTCGAAAGGCCAAATACACAATGCCCTTATACCATGTCAGAGACATAACAAAAGCTCCGAGTTTGTGTTCCAGGCAACTGAACAGTCAAGGGTTCATCCCTGCATGAATCGACAAGAAGTAGAGACAGTTAAAAATTTAAATACAACTCTCAACTGTTTATCCCCTGCTCAAATAAGGGATCGTGATAGTGTATACAAAGGAGCTTGCTAAGATTATGTACATGAAAAGAGTGCAGATAAACATGCTAAGATTATGTACATGAAAAGAGAGTGCAGATAAAGAAATCGAACAATTGAATAAATCTGCAGAAACCTAGCTGAGTGGGTGTGGCAATAGAAGTTACCGAATGGCTTGAGCTATGAAATTGCTGACAACGCGTCCATCATCGATATTCATGCGGGGTCCATAAGTATTAAAGATCCTAGCAATCCGTATTTCTGTTGTGGGGCCACCATTTTGAAATGGTTAAGAACTACAGTCACGAGATATCATTTTACATAAGAAAAATATGAGAGTATTTTACCTATTCCATGCTGTCTGTGATAATCAAACATCAAAGTCTCAGCCACTCGTTTTCCCTCATCATAACAGCTCCTAACTCCTGGTATACACATAAAGTAACACCATTAAATCACTGAATGCATTGTCTGTAAATCTATATAAAACACTACAAGGTGGAATTATTTTGTGCCGCACTCATTGCACTGCAAAGTATAGTTATCCCATGTGTCTAGTAAATATTACCAAGAATTGCCACTTTTTTTTTTTTTTGGGTCATACCAAGAATTGCCCATGAATGCAAGCATTCTGTGACTCAAGTTGCACAAGCATCAAAATTTAATTTTGTAGCATAATGCAACACATCAAGTTCCCATATGACTCAACTTTTATCCATGATAAAGTTATCCCCATAACACAATATAATCTAAACTATAGCACCCGCATCCATTGATTACTATTGCTTTTTTAAACGACATTTGACGTGCATCCACAAATCAAAACAAACTATTGGCAACTAAAAGTCTGGTGTGCTAAAGATACCTATAGGGTTGACGTTGCCCCAATAGCTCTCATTTTGAGGATGCACAAGAGGGTCTCCATAAACCTCAGAAGTTGATGTTAGCAAAATCCTGTTGACATAAATGGATATGAAACGAGAGTTCTATGCATAACAAGCACAAAGACATTGAAAGTAGTTTCCAACCTTGCTCCAACTCGCTTGGCAAGTCCCAACATGTTCAATGTCCCAATTACATTTGTCTTAATAGTCTGCCAAGTATTATATGTTCACAAGTCAGACAATCTACCAAAGAAAACACAAAAAAAATAAAAGAAGCATGCATCACAATCAAATTCCCTCAGAGATTGAGGGCTGTATCTCTGCCAAATCATATCCTCTTCACGAAACCGATAATCTCTTTCCATTTTTCTAAGCTGGTATGATTGCATAGTTATCAATAAGGCTATACACTTCATCAAACAATGATTACACCCAAAAAATGGAATAAATATGCCACTGCCAGTTGTAAGAGAAGCTCTAGCTTTGGCATTATGAGATTTAGTTTAAATTCTCGCTAGCAGAAAAAAAGAAAGGATTTAAAGAGTGAAGGTATAACCTAAACAGACATGAACAAGGAAATAAAGTAAGAGTCAATTGCCACACTATATGTTACTTGGAAAAAAGATAGCTAAGGAGGCAGACATTGTGACAGTCAAATTCCAAGAGGACCATGTGTGTGTGTGTGTGTGTTTGAGAGAGACAGAGAGAGAGAGAATCTCCCTGACTTGCATTTATTCTCTTCATGCATGGGAGAGAGTGATTTCACATAAAACACATCTTAAACAACTCAGATATTTCTCACGAGTGACAAACCTTCACGGGATTGTATTTGTAGAAAATGGGGGAAGCAGGACAAGCAAGATGGTATATTTGATCAACTTCAATTAACAATGGCTCTGTGACATCTGCATGAAAAGAAAAACACAAAAATTGTAAGATGAAAGCAAACTAAAAGAGATTCATGTAACATAATGTAAATAAAAGAATAGGTGAGCTTGATGGGTTGGACAGCATAATCTGTAGGAAATAGAACCGAAGCAGCATACTTGGAAGTATTTTTGCTATATTACTGATAACTTAAGCTAATATGTATACTTGAGCAAATAATCCGAACAATAGCTGTAATGCGATTCTTCTTTAGTGGCCATTCAAGTAGTCAAACATATAGACGCTTCCTAAATGGAAGTCAAATTCTCCAATGTATTTTAGTAGAAATACAATTAATTCTCCTAACATCTCTGTTTAGAGTTCACATCACCATCTATTCCATATAATCACTAAAAGCAAGAATATCAAGACTATTTATGATAACAACAGAGACGATGATACTTTCAAAATGCTTGTGAATCTGCATGTAAGCTGAATCAAGTTATGACAATAAGAAAATAGAGGGAAGTTTCCATATAATCCTTGTTTCAAATCAAATAGTTTTGATTGTCAGGCGCCAATTGCTCACAATTATAGAAGATACACAGTCACATAACTTTCACAAAGTGCTAACCATCACCCTAAACATGTTAAGGAAACATATATACATGTGGTATGGATTGCTATTTACTTACTGATATAACAAATAATCGAAAGAATAGGCAGAACAGTGACTACTTGAAAGCAAATGAATGCAATGAATATGAAAATTGTGCGAATGTCCATTTATAAGCTTAAATAACTTAGTTCACATGAGAACTTCTAAGGTCTGTCAAACAAGAAGAAAAATTCTATGGAACCATATTTGGCCCTTAGGAAACCTAATTATCAACAACTATACAGACATACCATGGCGAATAAGCTCGAATCTTGGATGACCTATCCATTGCCTTAGGTTGTCCTTTGAGCCAGTGAAGTAATTATCCACAACTATCACCTGATTACAATTAAACTTGCGTAAGCTGTAACATACAAATTTCTACAAGCAAATTAACCTAGACGATCTCAACCTACAGAACCAGCCATCAGCCTACCGATATGTATATGTTTTTGCACGACTAAAACACATGATATAAAGTTCAGCCCAGAGGAGTTCACCTCATTCTTCTCATTTTCCATCAGTTTGTCCACAAGGTGAGAACCAATAAACCCAGCTCCTCCAGTAATCAAAATTCTCATGTTCGCCTGTCATCAACCGCAAGAAATTCTCTTATAATAAGAAGAGATGGCATTGACAGAAATCACGTGGGGAAACATAAATCAGTGAGCCATTACTCAGGAGCTGAAAGCCAGACCCAATTGTTTGGACTCAGGAAAATCAATTTTTTTCAAAATATTTGATAATTACAGTTATTAGTTGGAAACTAACGATTTGAACACCCAAATCAAATGGTCCATGGCAATAGCTGTGCAGAGAATTCTACATATTACTATTACCTCCCATTCAAGATGAAGTAATCCACAAATTAACTGTTTTTCCCCTTTTCCTTTCTTCCTTTTGATATAATTAAACGAATAACAATAAAATCTGTATGAAAATCGAAGAGAAAGATGCCAACAAAATACAATCATGAACAAACTCCATAGTGGCTTTTAATATCAAAGACACCGCATTTGTACCTGAAAGAATTTGGCATTTCTCAATGGCGACGGCTCTGGAGGCGGTTTTGTAGTTGCATGATTCTCTCCATTGGCAACTTCCTTAGCCATCTCTTAGATCTCTTCTCAAATTCCTGAACACATATCAATCAAAACAATAAATCACCACCAAAATTCAATCTAAACCAACAAATCAAACAATTCCCAAAATTTTCAACAGCCTAAATTGACCGCCTTTAATTCAAATATCTATAACCCAATTCAATGTGTTCCTGAACACGTATCAATCAAACAATAAATTACCACCAAATCCAATCTACACCAACTAATCAAAAAAATTCCAAAAATTTTCAACATCCTAAATTGACAGCCTTTAATTCAAATCTCTATAGCCCAATTCAATGCGTTCCTAAACACATATAAATCAAACAATAAATTACCACCAAATCAGATCTAAATCAACAAATCAAAAAATTTCAACAGCCTTTAATTCAAATCTCTATAGGTCAATTCAATGTGTTCCTAAACACATATCAATCATCAAACAATAAATTACCACCAAATACAAACCAAACTCATAAATCAAACAATTAAAAAAAATTCAACAGCCTAAATTAACCGCGTTTAATTCAAATCTCTATAGCTCAGTTCAATGCCATGTACATTGAACACTTGATCAAACTCAGCCCAAAAAGAAACTTACAAGAAAAAAATGCGATTAATAAAATAATTGAGTTTCAATCACCTGCTTTTGGGTTTGATAATCGGAATTGCAAAGATTAAGTCTTTATAGATGTCTATTTATAATCACAGCAATTCAAAGGAATAAACGTGAACAAAGCATAAAATTCTGCCAGCAAACACTACCAACGAGAGAGAGAGAGAGAGAGAGTTGAATCTTGAAGAATACGAAAAGTAGAGACAACGCAAAGCTTCACTGGAACGCAAGTGGAGACACACAACTAACAGTTTCAGATCTGAATCTTCGATATAGACATAGGGCATGTTGCATTAATCAAATCAACAAACAATGATTAAGAACAGTAACTTTATCATAAATTACCTCGTAGATCGAAATCAAATAAAATTGTTTAAAAATCACCCAACTGAGATTTAGGCTTCAATCGTAAGACAAATAATATTTTTCGATCATACTATGTGAGGGTTTATATAGTGTCTTCTGTGATTGTCAAAGACATAAGATTATTGTTTACGTTCACGTTTCTGATTTTACAATAACCAAATCATGTATCCACGTGAAAATTTATCTAGTATCTGGATCGTCCACGTGTCTTTAGTGGGTCCCAACCGTGATAGAGATTGACAGATTGTGAGGATGCACTTTGTTAGGTGCCACACTTGATTGGATCATCCGACAGAAGTGATTTAATCTGCCACGTGGGATACAGCTCATGATTTATCTGTGAAGTCCAAGTCATTGTAGAAAGTCTCATTTACTGAGTAGTTATCTGCTGCGTCAGATACAAATAAGCATGCTTTAAATATTTTCTTGACTAAATATAGGCCTTTATTTTTTAAATTCTTTCAATATTTTCACCTAACTCTTTTTCCGTATTTTTTTCTCCAATTTTATAAATAGAGTAACCAGGCTTATCCTTTACGAGCAGAGAAATTATTTATGTGACTTTGACCCGTGACACTCAAGTCATAATAAAATAATTTTATTGTTGCGCTAAAATTCATATTTTTTTAGGAGTAGATGTATGGGTTAATCTCAACTTGTACTTCAAAAGGTCACTCGACTTTTAATTTACACTCTTAAAATTTAAAAATTTTAATTTGTACCTTAAAAGACATAAATTCGTATCAATGTGTACCTGGAACTAACTGTCATCTATTTTGCAATTAAAAAAGTTTGAATTAATTATAAATTATACCCTCAAAGTTTAAATATTTCACATTTATGAATTAAAACGAATTATATCCATTAATGCTCGTTAAAAACATCCACTAGATGTATACAATATTATCCCTACAAGCAAATAAACTATTTCTACAACTATAATCTATGACATTCAAGTAACAATGAAATAATCTTACCATTGCGCTAAAACCAGTCCTTTTTTTTTCCTTCAATTATTATATTTTTTGGAATTTGTTTCGTTCCTTCATGTTTAATTGTGGGTATAACAGATGGATATACATGTACAAAAATGTAAATTTATGTGACCACTTCCATTAATAAATTTAAAGTATGTTTGGAATGACTTTTCATAAGTTATTTTATAACTCATGTCTTCTCATAAATACTTTAAAAAAAAAAACATTTGGAACAACTTATTTTAATTACTCCCTAATAAGTCAAAAGTATTTCAATAACTTAAATAAGTAAAAGTAAAAAAAAAAAATTTACTTCTTTAAAATCACTTTTCCACAAAAAAACTTCACCACACCACAACAATCGTCGCCTACCCCCCACCACTAGCTCACTACCATCACCACGCACTTTTTGATAAAAATATTTTTTATTTTAAGTGATTTTTTGTTTGAGTATCTAATCAGTGTTTATTTAATGAACATTACTTTTTTTATAAAAACACGTTTGAGAAATATTTATTTAACAATTTTTTGAATTTTATAAAGTCATACCAAACCCAATCTTAAACTAACTTTTGGTAACCCAGATGTGTCAAGTTTAATCCCTTCTCACACCCCCTAAAAGCTAACCACCCTTTGCCCTTAGGAACATACTCTAACCCAGATCAAGCAGCAATACTTAATCGTTGAACGCGAAGGGGTATCAATGCAAGACTAAACACACTGTTAAACAAATTAAAAACTTGACGAACTAGAGTAACAAATTGAAAAGAACGATGATCAAAGTGACACAAAATTATTATTTTGTAAAATAGTAAGCAAAACATGTCTGTTTTTTGGGACAAAAATGCCCTTTTGTTTTTAAAAAAAATCAAAAATAACAATACTAAATGTTACACTAGTAGTTGTTTCCTGTGGGATAGTAAATCTACTTAATTTTAAATCAAAAACTATGAGATGAGATTACAAATGTACCTCCAATAACAATAGTCATAACCACGCACCATTTGGTCTTGTGGCTGCCAGGTCCACCAGGTAACAAAGATGTCCCTTGTGAGATTGGCACTTGAAATCTGGATTTATTAATTATTGTCCGTGCTTTAAGACATTATGTAAGAAAAAAAAAACATTAAACTTAAAAACAATGTATAACACAAATTACCAATCAATATAGACCCACTATTTAAAAAAAAAAGAAATCGATAAAATAAACTCCAAAAACACAACCCTTGAACAATATCAATCCTCATACACAATGTGTATAATCAAAATAGTAAAGAATACAAATCTTTATTTTTAAAAAAATAAATCACGCCAGAGTTTTTCATAATACAAACCTCTCCGAAATGCTCTTCCAGTTTTTGAAATCCTTTCATCCGATCTACCCTGAACCACCTTACAATTGGGAAGTAGATCGCTTGAATTCAATGCCAACTCTGCGATATGGTTTGAAGCACACTCCTTAAGAAACAAGAACACCATAAATGCACTACATGTACTAGTTATACTGCACTCAAACCACAATAACTCCTCTAATATAATTGAACATTTGAACCAAAACCCAATCAGCTTATGAACCACTTGGCCAGTAAAAAAGAGGTGGCCTTTCTGGATAACGCATTCTCCAAGCGAAAGCAATAAATATCGACAACATCAGTACACCGAAAATAAGGGTACTAATTGGTGTATGTTCCCTGTTCCAATTCATTCTGGCATCAGCATGATTACTTAAAGCTGGTGAAGGAACATTCGCATCGTTGCTAAGATCCAATCTTCGCCTCATCCAGATGATTTCTTCTTTCGGACCTTGTCTATTGCCAAGTTCTGAACATTTTGAGCACAAGCACTTGCCACCAAGAAACAAAGGGAGTGTCTGAAGGTATTCAGAGAGAACCTTTTGGTAATTTTCTCCTACGATTCTTAGCTTTTGCCGTGTGGCTGGTTTGAGAACCTGCATGAGAAATATTTATGAAACATACTTTTTGAGAGTTCCAGTTCACAGCAGAATGAGTTATTGTTGCCACCACTGCCATGATAACAAGGGGGCATGGTAAAGACACCTAAATGGTAACCAGTTTTCAGTTCATCATTATTATCCAGGAGCAGGAGTACAAACTGCAAAGATTGACAAACTTAAGCATATGAAGAGAGGAAAAACACAATCAGCAATTTGAAGTGCTATGAGTACACGGAGGGAACAAAAAAGACTTGGTGCACTCAGCTTCAGAATGATAGAAGCGCAAAATCTTGGAAAGAGTAGAGAATCCAAGCCCCCCATTTTAAAGTTTACAAAGTTCAGAAATAACACACCACCTCGGGGGCAAACGCAAAGAAAGGTGAGCCTGGACCTCAGTTCAAAAATTAATCAAGGGTCATTATAAGAGTACTCCAGTCAAGTTCCATTGTTCATCATTATCCTCAGCATGCATATAAATAAGTAGTGTCACACTAAATAAGACTGCCAACAATCATATTTAAAGACAAAAACTTACTGAATCAATAATAACATTTTACATTTCATGCTGCAGCTAAAAATTTGAAAAAGGCACGAATAAATATGAAAGAAACCTCAAAAGATGGAGCTCACTTGAAATAAAGTCTTCGTAATCACTCGAGCGACCAGAGGAAGCCGTATGACAATCAACAAGCCAAGGCGGTTGGGATAATGATCTTGCAGAAGTATAGCACAAGATCTCATCATTTGCATGGGGAATCCCAGTGGAGATAATCCCTTGCAATCCATCACAACTGTGATTCTAGGATTTTCTGTATGAACCAAGTTCACAACTCCATGTTCTATCTGGGAAACTGAGGACACAAAAACACGTGCCATTAGTGTTAATAGATACATCAAATCTATATGGCCAATAACAAATAAAAGTGAAATCAATAATGAGAGGATTTCCCAAAAAAGGTAGGAGAGAATTCACATGAAAAGATAAAAGATTGAACACTATCCAAGTTTGTAAAACACTAGATTTTTCTGCATTACTGCATTCACTCCAGTTTTCTAACAAATTTGCAAGCAATTGTTGTGCAGACACCTAGTTGATGCATCTTCCGTAGCAGAGGAGGTACTCGGAGTGACAAAAAATATTACTTTTGTGTACTATATTTTTTGAAAATGTCGTGCATATATTCACACATATTATCAATGTATGTTAACAAAGAGAACCAAAGAATAGGGTTTGCCTCAAATTGTTGACTGCTGCTCCCAACTCTGGCAAGAAAGGGAAGCATAAATATAGAAGTAAGAAAGTTGACTTAATATGTACTTTCTTATGCACATGATGCTATTTACTTACATATGGAAATTCATTCTTCATTACTATAAAATATTTTCTTGACAAGTAACTGTGAGAGATGCATGCAGGGAAAAAACCAACCTTCTTTTCTTTTTTGACTTATTTCATTCTTCATCTCAAAATATGTTTTCAATGAAATTGAACAAATATAAAAGTTTATTAAATACAGTTAAAATATCAAACAACAAACAAGGTCATGGTGGCCATGCCTAGGTGAAGGAATTCGTTTGATGCTGCCTAGTGATACTTCCTGAAAACCGTGCAAAAGTAACCTATCTCTATCATCCATATGGCAAACTTTTCGGATTTCTCCTTGCTTGGCATACCCTCTACTAAACAGGTTGAAAACAAGTTGCAAAATTCCATGCACCACCAGGTTACAATTTACATCTCCAAACATCTAAAATTTTCCACTTAAATAGCAATGGAGACCAGTTCATCCACACAATAGGCTTGGTTTTTACCATGACAGCTTGCACCATTTCATTCCAGATAAAACTTATGTTTAGGCTTTTGGCATTCCAATTGAAATAAGACATTCAAAGTAAGTTTTAGCAGTCCAAGAAGAATTCTTCTATAGATGTTCCAAGCCTCTAAAATAAGGTTTATAATCCAAACATAAGCTGAAACATCCGAAGGAGGGAAAACTTGGTAAATATACAACTGCTTTGTCTAATAAGAGCTATGAATTTTCAGCATAATAAGTCAATTCGATTCCTACAATATTCTGGGATTTGGAAAGTGATACTGAGATATAAAGACGCAAGATTTACATGGAAAAATTGCATACCAACTGCTTTTACGAAGAGAGACATGTCATTAGGTCTCAAGTTGGAGCAAGCAAGTCCAAGGCGAATAATGAGGCAAGAACATAGGTTCACATCAGATCCATGCCAGAAGACCAAACGTGACCAGGCCTCAAGCTCTTCGGGTGAAAAAAGAGTGTAATTCTGCCTCCAATAAATTGTTTTCTTGACTGATGACAGTAATCTTGAAAAATCACCATTTGCGATGGAATAAAATCTACAAAGCTCATCCTCACCAAGCCTGTAGAGCCACAACACTGTCATATTCAAAATCTAAGTAAATGATAAGATCAAATATCAATGGAATGAGAATGAATATATATCCAGAATGTGCAAAGGATTTTTGGCACATACATAAGAATTGGTGCATACTGCATTTCATAGAAACTAGCACAAATGCACAATGAGAACCTCAATATTACCTTTGTGGCAAAGTAATTCCCTGGTTTTCGAGCTCTTTATGGAGTTTGAGCAACCACTTCTCCTTACTGCAAGGCCCGAAAAGCATGCAACTTATACACTAATGATGGAGAAATTAGAAATCACAAATATCAAAACAGAACTGGTTTATCTGTGAGACAAGAAACAGAGGAAGACCAAAGAAACAAAATTTGGATATGTAAAATTAAACTTCCATGAGAATGGTTTGTGCTGCAAAGAATAGCACTGTCTATAGTGCACAGCAGTAGCTAGCAAAGAGAACTTGCACTGGAGAACTCTAATAACTAACAAAGATGGTATAAGCAAAGAATGAGACTATAGGCAAACCAGGAGCGATAAGCTCCAAGATGCTCTAGGCTACAACAGAAGTCACAAAAATAGAACTATTATTCTATTGCAATCACCAATAAAATTTCTAGGATGAAAAGAAAAGAAAGAACAATTAAACTCAAGAAAGCCCAATCCCAACTATTTGGGTAGGCATTAATCTTGTTCTGGTATCTCTATCAAGGACCACACAGAAAAGGGCAACCTGTGATAAAATAAAGGGTAAACTTCTTTAACCCCCTAATGATTTGGCCTTCAATCACTTCACCTCCCTATGGTCTAAATTGAATGGCTAACTCTGCTACCAGCAACAGCAAAAAGACTGTAATGCCCTCATTATCATTTTTCTTCTTTTTCCTCTTCCTCCTCCTACCACCACCACCAGCTAGCTTTGAAGACAACAATTCACCATAAATTCAATTAAACTTAACCTAAATGCATACAACTTGATACAAATTCATCAAAGATTTACCGAATTTCATTCAACTGAACAAATATTTAATACACATGCTATACTAAGAACAAATATTTAATACCCATGCTGTACGAATCCTAGTCTTAGACACACCAATGAAATAACTTTTGGTAGCTCAATTTCTCAACTCAATGATCATAAATCCTTTTAATTGTTCATGATTGTTGATGATGTCATTTTTCAAATGCAAGTGCTGGAAGATATTCAGATATTAATGAATCAAGTCCAAGAAGATACAGAATGTTAACTACCTTGTGTCTGGAGGTTCTGATTCAAAAGATCCTTGAGAATCATCCAAATTGTTTGATGTTTCTTTTGTAAAGAAAGATTGTTCGGAGAAAACTGTCGCAATTGTGAGGACTAACATTGGCCTTGACAATGTCTAGGAGAAGAAACAAAATCAAAGAAGAACATGAGCAAAAAAATGTGTGGTGGCAAAAGAAAAAATACAATTGGGCAAAAAAGCAACTAAAAATTATCTCTGGAAACTTGCATATGCTGCAATACGATCGTGTATTGTGTTTTGGTAACGCCCCAGTTTCCTTGAATGCAATAATTGTTTAATCGACTATAATATAAATATATCTCCAAATACAGGGCCAGAGCTCTAATCACCTCAAAATTAAATAAAAATAGTCTCCAAAATCTACAAATAAATGTCCTCAAATTATACATTACAGCAATAAAACTAAAAGTTATAAATCTGCAATACTTTGAAATCTCAACTCTGGTCCTTTGCTTTCATATCATTCTGAAAAATATTAAAACCGGAGAAATATACGATACGACAGAAAACAATATGCTAAACGATAGAAATACAAATTATAGTGAATAATCAAATTCGACATGTTACATAACTCAACTACTATCAAACATAGCCTCATACTCAGTTCATCTTGATGACATGATAACTGACACTTGGACATATAAATCCATATTCATACCAAACAAGCACACTCGCAGGGCCATAATCACAACCAGTACGACCACAATCATATTTCACAACCTATGCCTCAAGCACACTTTGCATACATACTAATCAATTCCAAAATATTTAACCTAAAATACAGGTTAGCTCACAAAAATTTCGGAATATCATATCATCCAAAAATAATCAATAAGAATACAAATTTTGAATAATAAAAAAGACACCATTTGCAAATAAATTTGAAGGGCAGAAACATATTGTATACTACCCCGTACCTCAAATTACAAATTGATATCGATAGATTTGATCAACCATTATTTTAAGAGCAACATAGACAAATTTCATGGACATTGAGATTAAACTAACAACTAATTTTGAACCAAAATCTTGCCACTTTTCCTTCTCTCTTCTTTTTCCCTCTCCTCTTATCATTTTTTCCAGCCTTGGTCCCCAAGAATCCTACATAACACACACATATGCGCATGACCTATTTAAGCTTGCATCATTAGTTTTCAATGCCCAATGGACACACGTCCAGTTATCTCTCTTTCTTTCTTTTTTTCCCTTCAAGTTATATAATCATATTCCAATCCCAAATAAACTTCTAACAATCTTAATAATTATAATTTCAGACCAACGTTATTTAATTCTTTAATTTTATAATATCAGACTGTCATAGTTTCTGAAGACCCAAACCCTCAAATTCTTGAAAGCAGTTAAAAAATTCAAATTAACCCCACAAAATATGTACAAGTAGACATATGAATTTTAACATCATTTTGCTGTTTGATCTAATTTGTGCTATGTTTGGTAGGGCCAAATGGAAGAAACTTTCAAGTGAAACAAAGAGAGAAGGTCCCTCTTACCCGTGATTGAAAGTCAAAGGTGTAACTAAACAAAAAGTTCAGGAATGGAAAGAAAGTCCAGTGCAGTGAAGAAAATCAATCCCCAAATCCAATTTGAATGTCAGCAGACATAAAATAGGATTAAAAAATGCATTGCAGAGGTACATGATTTGAAGGAAAAAATACATGAACATTAGTATAATCAAATATTGGTTATTGTTCAATCGCAATCCTAGATAATCAGCCATCATTCAGGGTTTGCATGCCCATATGTCGACCTCCTCTGCATAGTCTAATTTAAAAAAAAAAATCAAACTATAATAACATCCATTTTACAAATCAACATATGCTATGCAAGAAATTTGACAACTGAAAAGATATAAACCAACCTGCATGTGTTTAACCAAAACCTTGAAAGGAGCCCATCTTTCCACCCATTTAAATGGTGGATAGCAGAGAACTTGCAATGCCTGAAGAACGCGCCAAACAAGAGGACACTTTGCCCTTGAGAATCTTCGCATAATCTCGAGCGCTGCAGTTGTTAGCAAAAAAACTCCTACATCTCCTGCAGCTCCACTTCCTTGTATACTTCGTTTCACCAAAGTAATACATTTCGAAGTCTTTGGTGAAAATCCTTTGGGTATCGAAGCAACCAAACAATATTTAGACAGCTTCTTAGCTTTAGCAACCCTGGGCTCCAAGCTCTTACTTGAATGATTAATGCATAAGGAGTCTCCCATTTGGTTGATCTAATGAAACTCCATATCACCTCACCATTCCACCAATAAACTATGAGGCACTTCTAATCCAAAAGCTGTTCCAAATCCAGACATTATGTTGAACTTCTTGTATCATTATGTTAGTATAAATAGCATAGTAATACCATATAAATGATGTGACATTTGAAAAATAAAAGATTAGGATGTAGATTAATAGCTTCTTGTGTAAATGATATTTATCACGAACAACTGGCAAAGTTCATCAAAAAACCAGCAGATTCCCAGTAGCATATCTGTAAATTTCTTTTAGAATCTAGACATTGTACTATCAGTTAGTGTGCAACGCACAAATTTAATGCCTAAGTTAAATATTACACCTGTACACTTTCAAGTACAAAACATGAATTTTAAAAACCAAAAAATTCATTCATTTTGCATGCCTGCACTATAATACTTCAGACTATAACCCAAGCCTCAAGTAACAAACAATGAACAACGGGCAGTAATAATCAACACTACATTGTAGTACCGTTGATAAAGCATTCACGTAAAGCAAATATTAAAGATCACGACCTCATAAGGTGAAAATTCGACCCTCATTTCAAGTTTTTGCTTCAAAGAGACCCCAAAACTCACTCCTTCCAGTAAAAATTTACGATAATATATAATTTAAAAACTACAAAAATCAGTCCTTCGATTCAAACCTTGAACACCATGAGCTGATAGGGAAAAAAGTTCAACGCCAATTTTAAGTTTTTTGCTTCTTATGGAGCCCAAAAGTCACTCCCTCCTTCCATTCATCACTAACCATTAACATATCAAATTCTCAAGACCCAGCATTTATATATACCAAAAATCTCAATGCCCATTTCACAATCGTAAGTTCTGAACCCATGTTCTTATTAGAAACACAAAAAAGAAGTACTATGATGCAAGAATTCATCATTTCTAATTTTTTTATAATGAACTTAGACTTCCATAATAAAAGCAACAGAAATCAAGCAACCAAAAAGAACAACAAAACATAGAATGCTAGAATGTCCATATTAAAAGAAACTCAAAACTGCAAAAATGTTGTTTCTTAATCACACCAATAATCACCTGAATTACGCATAAATATCTCGCCGAATTCGTCGCACAATAAGGTTTAGGGTTTAAGAGTATTTGTCGCGAAGGTTGTCGACAGGTAAATGGCAAGACTTTTCTCATTTGTTGATTCACACACTACCACACCCACCAACCACACCATCAAATGTCTCTCTCTCTGTCTCTCAACAGAGACCAACGCGTCAACTCTCAACTTGGCAACTGCTGTGGGGCCTGTCTACACTGATTTATGGCGTGAATTCTCTAACTGCACGTGGATGGCTTCTCTCCGACCCAACTAAACATCTAACCCGTAATCACAACAATTGGAAGAATGAAACTCTATCGACCGAGTTATACTTTTGGAAGCGGAAAAATATTCATTCCACCGTGATATTATTAATTAATAATATATAAATAAATAAAGAATTAAATTTTACACAAATCAATAATTACTCGTCCATTTAAGCAGATAATTACTCACTCATCTTTCATGTAAGTTAATAACTATTTTAGTGAGATTTACTTGATCTATTTATGATTTTATTATTACTATATGATATCATGTTATTAATGTCGTCTCCTGTATCACCATTGTACTGAATATTATCTTGCCAAAGCCAAGTGGAGAGCATGCATAGAAGAGTAAGATGCTTCTTCTATTCTTTTTCTATCCTAGTTTGAGCTGTCATAGACTTGAACTAGAGATCTTACCTATGAAGTAAATTATAGGGGCGACTCAAACCAATTTAAGTTTTAAAGCGGAAATATTAAATTGAAATCTTTTTATTTGTAGTATTTATTTTTTTAAAAAAAATAAATTTATTTTTAATTTTTTATGTGATAGGAAAACAAAAGAAATATGTGTTAATATTGTCGAGAAAGAGATTTTAATTTTAATTTTTGTTTTTTATTTTTTTTACTGCAAAGAAAGAGAGAGAGAGTGGATGGAAGTAAATATGAGTTGATTTTTGAATATTTTTTTATTTCTAAGTTTTTAATGTTATGAATTATATTATAGGCCCGAATTATTACAATAAAAATTTTGATTAGATTTAATTTTTTGGGGATTAAAATTTAATAGATTTAATTTTTTTTGTGGGCTAATGATATACCTAAAATTATGGGGCTTAAAGCCCATATTTTTTTTTTCCCATACTGGTGGGTTAGGCTTGTATATTATCACACATATATTTGACCTAAAAATTTTTAAAAACTTACTTAATCACCCTTCTTAAGGTTAAATACTGAAACTAAGTTTGACTTAAAAGTCAATATGCACAAACTCAAATTTGTTGATCAATCTTTCAACAATAATTCAAACTTTTAACCACAATACCCAAAAAAAAACCCTATTTCGTGTTTGGGTCGCCCACTAGTCTAATAAAAATCAGGTCTAAGTCCATATACGCATTAAGCAAAATTTAATTTGCCATAATTTGGACATGTTATGAATTTGAATATGACACAATCTATTGTTGATACTGTTGTGTGGAATAAAAAAAATATTATTTAGATTTAAAATACTGATTTGATTTGTTAACTTAAGCAATTATAACTATTAAATTCGTAACGAGTTCTAACAAGTATTAAGACTCATAGTCATATTAATGACAAAGACTAATTAAGTTAAAAAATTAAGTCAACATTTTAGATTAATATAACATTGTTCATGAAATAAATATCTAGTGTTTCCCTTTTATCTCATTTCTTGCTGAATTATAAAAGAATTAGAGAATTTTTATGTGATTTTGTTAAAAAAACCTTCAATTATTTTTATTATTAATACTTGACCGAGACTTGTTATTGAAGGTTTTAAAATATGACACGACATGAATATAATATGAAATTAAAGGATTTGGGTATTTCTTAAGTTAGTCGTTTCGTAAATGAGTGGACATGATAAAACATGATTAATAAATAAATTTGGTATAAGTAGAGTGACTTTTGACATGATACGACTCGTTTCTATATCAGTTATATATAATTTACACATAACATGAATCTAATATGATACGATTTATTAGACACAAAAAATGAATCGGGTATGAATACAGTATTTTTTGACACCAACATACTAAAATCCGACACGAACTCGTCTTCCCACCGCAATTGATTGACTAATTATTAATAGAGAATTGAAACAGTGAGAAATAAAAAAGGAATAAAAATTTTATTTTTCTCTTCAAATTGACCAGGGTAACCCAGTCTGATCCCACAGCCCAAAGTATAGACACTTGGTCCTATATCAGCCCAAGCTATAGTGGTTTGGGCAGCCCAATTGCGAACATTCAAGTACTAAACTCCCAAAGTCCCACATGCTAGCACTTCTAAATGCTGTCCAACAATAGCTTCAGCTGCTACTAGCAATTCGCCCGACCCCCAAACATCATCATCTCATCTAGCTGACAAGTAGACGGATATCAGGCTTCCCATGGCTGGTAAACCAGCACTCTCAGACTCTTGACAATAGCCTGTCCCCACGCACTCAACCGAACCAGAGGCTGCGACTCCTTACCAAAGCGTCTCACCTTACCCCTATGCCTTTGATCAGGTTATAGGAGGCGAGTGTTTCCTCCATATAAAGATGCCTCTTGGATCAATGGGGCGAAAGACCTCCCACCTACAAAGTCTTACAACGGTCCCTCTATGATGCGTCGGACCTCTTTGAGCTTAAGGTCAAAATTATGAAAAAAATGTCATAATTTGATCCACATAGTTCTTGGTTGAACCACGGGGCATGGGCTCTAGATAATCCATGTTCAAAAACGGGGGAAAAATCTTTCGAAAACCTCGATTTTATCTTGGACGAACTTAAGGTAGGGCCGACAATCACAAGTTTTCATGTCTATGTCATGTTGAGTTTGGTGTTGTCTAGATTATGTCATGTTAAAACTTATTAAACTTATATTAAATTCCTTTATAGTTGAGTGTATGAGTTTATGTCATATTAAATACAACTTACAAAATAGTTATTTATATTCTGATTTTTATATCGTATAACCGAGTTTATGATAACCTATTTACACGAGTTATATTATTCAACTTGATTATGTCTCGAACTCATTAAAATTTCACCCATATTCAGCAACTTCGTATTGGATAAGAACGTTGTGTTAGAATTGATAGTAAATATTTTGCAGCCATGGCTATATTTGCATCATGACTTTTGTCGATGTTCAATTATAGTTTGCCGACATAATAGAGCACACAAAGTTACAAAGATTGGTTCAAGTCAAAAGGATGATTTGGTACGCGAGACACTCGTCATCATAAAATTTAAACAAAAAAAAAACAGATGCCCCCAACTACTAAACATTTTTACTCTTTACAAAAAAGTGAAATACTACAGTACTAGGACCATTGCTTTATATTTTCAGGCTTAGGGTTGAGACTTTTACCCAAGCAGAGAACAAAAAGAGTGTAACCAATAATACTACAGTACTTAAATTTTTTTTTTCTTCGATTGTTAGGAGTGTTTAAGCTAATTTACGCGTATTTTGACTAATTTTCTTCTTAATCTACTTAAATGTAGGTCATCCACACCAGAACTACGTATTCATGAGGGATGACCTGACTCCAAATAGTTGTCAAAATTTATACTTTATGACATCTGAGTTTATAACTTGCATCTATTACAACTTAAATTACCCTTTAGAATTCCTACTTAAATTTCTGATTTAGAAAAACAAAACAAATCATTTACACATAAATAGTCTCATTTAAATTCATAACAAGTGTTTTATTGTAAATTAAAATCCCCTCTATTACATTTTTACTCAATTTTACTTAATATTTTTTAAGTTATAATGAATTCAAGTGAAATTCGCTATTCATAATTGGAATCCCTCACCTATATTACGATGAGCAGTACATCCTTGAATAAAATTATAATAAACCAGCTTTAGATTCATCTACTAATGACGAAAATTAAAAAAAAATAACATAAACTAATCCTACTAACCCAGCTACAGCTGTAGCAGATCTAACTCTATGACATCAATTCCCTAAAATACCCTTCCTTGTCTTCAACAATTTTTAATTGAAAAATAACCGTCTCATTATGCTACCCAACTCTCTACCCGAAATTTTACTTCTCAAATGAATTTGGCATCATCACCATCAAGTTTTTTTTTTTTTTTTTTTTTTTTTTTTGTGTTTGAGATGTCAAGAGTATCCGACCAATTTAGAAGTAGTTTGATTAATTTTTTTTTTGATTTAATCAAAAATAAATTATTCACGTCGAAATTAAAGTATTTATAAGATATAAATTTCGTATGATTTATCTTCAATAAATTATTAAAATTTAAATTCAAAACGTCTTATTTTCACTTGGGAGTTAAACTATCAAGAAATAAGGGGATGGAAGAATACTGAATGATTAGATTTAACTACATCATTTAGAAAGTAAAAGTTCAACTAACAATTTTAGTGGAGAAATAGTCATTAAAAATGTATTATTTAAACATCACTAAGGTGTAAGTGGGTACGCAATACAATGACAAAATAAAGAATTCACTAAACTCATATGCACAATAGTACACTACTACCAAGGGAGACACCAAAACACACACACAACACCCAAAAGAACACACAAATCAGAGACCGTATCAAATCGGTCCATATTGCAGAGTACGGCACACAGAAAAGAGAGAAATCTTACTTTGCACCCCCAAAAAGTTTTAAAAATTTTATTTTGTACCTTAAAAGTATTTAACTCTAGTTTTTCGCTGCTTATTCCGTCAAAAACCACTGTCTTTTACGCCGAGGAAATAAGCAACGAAAACTTATAAAAAGATTATATTGTTTTTAATATATTGAGAATATAATATAAAAAATATAATTTTTTAAGGTACAAAATGAAAATTTTTAAATCTTTCAAATTGCAATTGCGCCCCTCTAAAAATTTCTCACACACATTTTCTGTAGCTCACACACTGTTTTTGTCTGTCTAGAGGTGAAAACGAGAGCCGTTGATTACGAAACAGACGACTCTAAAACCTGAGAGCAGAGAAGAGAAGGCTAAGAATAAAAATCCGGCAAATCCCAAGGCGACGGAGATGTCGGACTGAACGCAGAACGCGTTGTTCGCCGTACACGTCGGCGTCTCTCTCAGCTTCCGAGCCATCGCCGTCCCCGCTGAGCTCGCCGACAGTAGCAGGTACGCGAACACCTAATCACAAACGACACCGTTTAATACTGTGCAAAACATTCTCTAATACTCAGAGTCGTTGCAGAGAGAGAGAGAAATTGAACCTGATCGTGGCCGAAGTCGAACCAGACTTGAAGCATCTCGGGAAGAACAGTGGCTCCTCGAGAAATCTCCCAAACAGAAGCTCCCATTTCGAAGAGCGAATATATAGCGACTATTGCATTCGCAGCAAAGACAAATCTGTGAACGCATTCCGTTTCAATTTCACTATTCAATAGATACAAAATTGCTAAAACCCTAGGCTTCTGTTTGGCTGGCTAGAAAACTCAGGAATTAAGGAAGAAAATCGCGTTTTATGATAGTATCTAGGTACGCAGTTGTAGAAATCTAAATCAACACCTCAATTAAGGCAAATTTTAGTATAGAGTCTATAATCGAGTGATTTACCACGTCGTAATAATTTCAAAAAAGAAAATTCATTTTTTTCCCTCGCCTACATTTTCTTAGCAACCAAACAGAGTTTGAATCTCTAGAACATTAATAATCATCGGAGGGATAACGCGCGTGTGTACCTGAAGGAGTCGAAGTCGAACCAGTGAGGCGGATTGGAATCTCTAGAATTCGTCACCATAAAAATCGCGGCGGCGAGAGTGAAGCAGAAAGTGGCGAGTCGAAAGACGAGAATCAAAGTGTTGAATCGCCGGAGCTTCTGTAGAGACACGGTGGACTGGAAGTGAGCTTGGATTCGTGGTCGAGGCGACGGAGTCTCGACGCCGCCGTTTCGGAGGGGCTGAGGGGACTGCATATCTTGTCCTATAGAGAGAGAGAGAGTGATGGTTCAGGGGCAGGAGAGAGAGAGAGAGAGAAAGTGTGTGTGATGGTTTAGAGGGCAGGAGAGAGAAACTGAGAGCTCATGATAGAAAAGAAGAAGTAATGTAGAAAGTTCCAATATTTATTTTACGAAGAAACTTGATTTTGTGGAGCTCAGTTTGGGTTGGGACTTTGGTGTCACGGGACATGGCATGACTTCCATGAAAGAGAGAGAGAGCTGCATATATCAGCCCAAATCTATATATATATATATATGTATATAGAGAGAGAGAGAGAGAGAGAGATTTAGACAGAGAAAGTGAACATATAAAGAGCAACAGAGAGATGGGAGGTGAGGTATGGGAGGTTTTGGGAGGTGAAGTATAGGGGGTTTTAGATAGAGAAAGTGATATATATATGTATATATATATATAGAGAGAGAGAGAGAGAGTGTGTGGGAAAGGGGTATTTTTGGAGAGAGAAAGTGGTGATAACAATAGACAGCAGACAGACAGCAATGAGAGGAAGAGTGCGGTAAGGTGAAGATGAGAAAAAGGGTTTACTTTGCTTTGCTTTCCTCTTTCTAACATCTTTTCAGCGGAAAACTCTTTGGTATAACCAACCCCCCTCCCGGGGAAGGGGTTTGTAGAGTAAACGACCCACTTGTGGCTTGAGTTTTGCCATGTGGAAAGTTTAAAATAAATATTGTTAATTTTAATTACCTTTAGCTAATTTATTTTATTTTTATTTTTATTTTTAATAATAAATTATAATTATGAATTAAAGTGAAACTTCCATAAATACGGGCCATTGAAAAAAAATTTACAAGTAAATATATTATTAAATAAGATCTGATTCTAATAAATACTGGACATGAAAAACTTGACACACTATAATCACTCTCTCAACATTAAATTATAATTCTCTCAAAATCTGTCTGCAATACATAATTACTCGCTCTGCATTAATCGGTACCAAACAAATTTTGGTCGCAATTAAGAAGCACATTTCATCATACACAAGATCGTAACAACTTTATACACATTACAATGCGACACATGCACCACCTTGAGTTGTAACAAAATTCAAATGTGATCGTAACTCTTTTTTTTTTTTTTAATTGGAGGGTGGTTGTTTTGAGTTTAATTACCAATTAACTCTCACTACTACAATTAATTGGAGGGTGGTTGTTCTTTCCTAAGTGCAGAGTCTGTTTGAGGCATTCAAAGGCTGCCCAGAGTTTAGCCTTGGGCAATCTTTCACTAATATTTTTTTTTTTTATTATTTTTTTATAACCATGTCTATTTTCCTATTAAACTCAAATGCTATAATTAATCCCAAGTTGTTGAAGGTGAATTAGACGCACTTTGTGTATGGGTAGGTTGGCAGTTGGCTTTCTCATTCTATTGGTGATTGGCTTTGTGGTGCCTCTTTACCCTCTTTATTTGATCATCTTTTATATTCTTCTTTTTGGGTTTGTGATAAGGCCAGGAGGGATTGGCTTTGTTTGGAGCTCCTTTTTGAATTTCTTTCCTTTTCCATACACTGATTTAAATGATATACACACCTAAATTACACATGTCCCCTCCTATAAATCGTTTTTCTACAATAATGACATTTTTATTTGGTAAGTGGTGTATGTAATAGGAGGGCTCTATAGGTTTGGTAATTTTGAGGAGGACAAAAAAATTCCACAATGATAATGTGATTTCATGAATTTATCTTTGTGACCCCTTTTCTATTATGGTTGATTATTTTTGACCCACCATATTAAAAACCTAGGAAGCATATATATTTTTTGGAGGGTTGTCCTGATAGTGTTGGACAGGCCGAACAGATAGATATGATTAGAAGTGTCCTGAATAGTAAATCTAGTCGGAGACGGTCGGAATACATCCAAGACAAGTTTAGGACACGACTAAGATACGGTGAGGATTTACAAAAAAATAAAATAAAATAACTGTTGACTATTAAATGAGATGTTATTTCTATTTTTTTAATATAATTTTTGTTATGTAATTTATATACTATGAATGTAATGATGTTTAATAAAAATTAAAGAATATTTATTTTGACCTATTTCAATTTTAATAAAAAAAAATTAATATTTGCTAGGTCTTATTATTAATATTGTTATAATATATGCTTTTTTTTTTTTAATATATTACAATTATATTATTATTTAAAAAATATATTATATTATTTTAATAGTCATATCTTTATCATACATATATTCTATATTTTTTAACTGTGTGGTATCCCCATATCCGTATGTGTTACGATTAACTAAATTTCAAAATAAATTTGAAAACGACACGAACCACTAACATGAATAATAAAAAGTGAGTTAGTATTATACACGAATAAGTCCATTTGTTTTTTTGATTTTGATACAACAAAACTCTATTCTATACATCTTCTTCCAATTTTTTTCTATTAAGATCATGATAATTTATGCTCTATGCAGATGAAGGACGTCGTTGTGATCCGTATGAAAAGGTTTAGAAAGAAGAAGAGAAGTTTGACACAAAATACACGTGAACTTTGGTTAGTTGGTTTTTAACTTTTTTAAAAATGTATGTGTATATATATATATATATAATATGATTGTGTATCTAGAAACCCTATAAAAAAATTGTATTGAAAATAAACAGTGTTTGAAATTTTGCTGCTTTGGTTGGGAGCTAATGTTGGTTTTGTCCAACATAGTTGTTAGCAATATAAGATTATTGTATGTATCTAGAAACCCTTCAAACAAATTCTTGAAAAAAAAAAATAATGTTTGAAATGAAGTGAGAACGACATAAACCAAATTGTATAGGACTATGAACACATTTACTATGAGTCAGAACATGACACAGACCGGAAATAATACGTCGCATTATTAATTCAGGTGAAATTTACAAAGTTATGGTATTCAATAAATATTTTTAACAAAGGGCTTGTGTAGTTAGGGATGCAACTTAGGCGGATCAACCTGAATTCGACTATAGCTCAACCCAAAAAAAAAGTGTTGGGGTTAAAATTTTTAATACTTGAATTGGCTCTGGTTAAAAAAAAATTCAACCCAAATTGAATTCGGATAAGTCTCGCGTGGAGGCCTCGAGTTGTCGGGTTCAACCCGAATATTAAAATCGGGTTGAACCTGATTATTAAATTGGGTTGAACCCAAATATATATAAATATATTTAATTAGGGATAGTATTTATTTTCACTTTTCAAAGTTTAGACTTTCACTTCACTTCAAGTCTTCACATTTGCGCCTCTATCACTCTCAGATCTCTTTCTCACTCGTCACTCGTCTCTCATCTAGTCTCAGCCTCTCTCTCTCTCACTCATTACTTCTCTCTGTTTTATCAACTCGAATTAACTAACCTGAAAATAATTCAAATTTTAACCCGAAATCAAACCGAATTAAATAACCCAAATTTAACCCGAGTTTATCTGAATTAAACTCTAGTAATACTCGGGTTATATACCTCGAGTTGAGTTTGGGTTAGGGGTAGGGTTAGAGTTAGAGTTAGGATTAAAGATTATATATTTAGGACTAAGTTATGGTTGAAAATTATATATTTAGAGTTGAGTTCTCAACCCGTCCGAGTTGCAACCATACGTGTAGCATAGTAGTAAAAGTGAGGAAAAAAAAAGAAACTACAAAGAGGAAAATCGAAAACATAGAAGGAAGATGAAGGCTAAACTACAAAATTACTTGTGAAAACTTTCGGAATCTTTCGAAGTTTAAGAAATGCACATGTCCCGGAGACTTTTTACCTTAGTATTCTTGCTTTCACTTTCTCAGGTTCATAATAGTTGGATTTAGGATGTGCTCCGTACATAACTCTTGATATTTTTATTGAATTTTTTTTTTGAAACTTAAATGTTATCTTGAAAATCCTAATTGAGTCATGGAATGGACTTTTATTGAACGAACCCTTTTAGTGCTCAATAAGTTAAGTTTTTGTTGCATTTTAAGCATAAAAATCAGTAGGGACCACTAAAAGCCCCTGGCCTACAACTCAAGCAGTCTTTGAACACTAAGAAAAAAAATTTAGAGGAAAGTCGAAAAATTGGACAGTGACCACTGCCGACTGGCGCCCGAGTGGCCTAGCCAGACAGTTCGAGCGACTTTGACACTACTCGAGCGATCCCTATCCATAAGGTTTGGAATTGATTTTCTTGACATTCTAGTGACCACCTCCCGAAGACCCCCTAATCACATCTCGGGCAGGCCATCACAAATCTAAAATTTTTTAGGCTTCAATTACACTCTATTCATGAGACCTATATATATAAGAATGTCTTTTTTCACAAGTATAAGCCTCTATAAAATAAAAATAATATCATTTATCATTTACGGAGAGAAGAACAAAGCATAGCATCCCTAAGCATCCAAGGACTTTAGATCTACCAAAAACTTGAAAAAAAAGAATGATATAGTAAAAACTCATCATGGTGAGAAGATCTTAGGAGGATTTCAAGAAGATCGAGAGGGATTCCTAAGGGTGGATTGTGGAGCTTGGTTCATTGCCAAGTGAAGCTATTGCTCAAGATCTCACGATGGATTTTCAAAGTGAAGATACTAGTGAAAAAACATCTAACCAAGAAATTGATTGAAGTGTAAGATTTTAAGGTTGTAATCTAAACTTTGAGTATAATTGATTAGGTTAGGTGAATTATAGTTTCGTGCAGTGGTAGAGGCAGAGTTCTTCCATAGCTGAGGCAATTCTCTAGTTGAAGAAAATGATAGAACGATAATAATCAAAACTCAAAAATTGAGTATGCCTTCAATGATCGGATTTGGACCAGATTTCGAAAGATTCGAATTTGATCTGAAAGTTCGGATCTAAATATGCTTTTACAACTTTTTTACCGATTCAATCCGATTATTTAATGAATTTTGATTAAACAATACACATCCGATAAATAAAATATTTTGAAATTCGATCAAATTCATGAGTCAATTAAACTTGAATTTTAACAAATTAAATCTTAATTTTGATTTAATTTCATCAAATAACATTCAGTTTCATCATATACCAATATATACATGCATATAAATTAAACTGAATTATAATCGGATCGAATTTTAGTATAATATTTAAAATTAAAATTAGTATAATATGCAACCGATACTATTTTCACTTCACCTGCATCAATATTCTCTTATTATCAAAAAAAAATATATTAAAGTGAAACCTTTTGATTCAAATCAACTTTGTATCATCATATGATCGTTAGTATGAATACAATCATTGAATTGAATTATGGTCTAAAATCTACACAAAAACAATAATAAAGGGACATGAATTTTCCTCTAGTCAAATCAAAGGGGAACTTCTCTAATGTTTACGAAGCTATCTTTAGTTCTTGCATAAGGACAACTTTGTTATAGGGTGTCCCACGTTTTTATCGAAGAATAATTGTCCTTTGGGATGCTAAATGTGAATAGACTACCTGCACTGGCCTACCAAAACAGAGCACAAAATTCTGCAGTTCACAATGTTAATGGAGAAGACAGAAAATAGGTAAAAAGAGATGGGACGAGTGATAGTTTAAGTGATAATAAAAATAAATTATAAATTTAAATATTTTAAATTTAAATTTTGATAATTTATTATAATCAAGTCATGAGAGATTTATCCTTCATGAATACTCTAGTCTCAGCGTGAATGGTCTATTTTTGACCGAATGTAAGGTAATTAATCGGGGTGCATCTAAATTGGTTCGGACACCGACAACTGTTGAGGGAGGGGGGTTGGATTCTCTTTATGATCCATGACACCAAACATATTCTTACCCTACGTATATGATTTATAGAGCCATAATTATCATTGTTCATTGATTCTTCCAGACAAGAATTTGTGCAAACAAAAGTGATCCAAGAACAAGGTTCAAATTTTCCTTACAAAGATGCCAAATCCAAACATGACGCTGGCAATTATAGTACATCAAGATGTATTATTTTGAAAAGCAAGAATTTGAAGCCTTTTGTTTAGGGTTTAAAGTTTGGTTTTTGGGGAGAAGTTCAGCATACATATATGGCAAATGATCCAACGAGTCTAAATTATTTAAATTCAACTCGTTTAAAAAACGCTAAATGAACTGAGTATTTACACATACACGAGTCAACCTTATCGAGTTTAAGCCGAACTTGTCAAACTCATTTTCTAAACAAGTTTAAAAAATTGTTCATCTTCAGCTCATTTTCTAAACGAGCCGAAATTAAGTTGATCTCCAATAACTCGATTCGATTATCAGCCTTATTACATCGAGGGAGGGGGGAGCACGAAAGAAATTCACAATCACATGAGCCTTGGTACATAACGAATAGAGAGAGAAAAACAGCAAAAATAGTCCAAGTATGATTCGAATAACCATAAGCCCAAGAAGTAAGAACTGCAAATCTACCCTAGTGGCAAAACATCTAACAATCTGAATAACCCAAGTTTGAAACCGTCTCCCAATGACTACAGGAAAAAGAAAACTAACTGACAATATGATCAACTATGATCAATATTGAAAAACCACATGTTCCATCATATATACTTTATGCAACCAAACTCAAAAGCATTACCACCTCCCGGGAGGGGAGAACCAGAAACCTTCACCGAGGCGTTCAAGCGGAAACAAAACACCCTCATCGAGGAAGCTGTGGTAACACTGTAAAATCTAAACTTGCCCCAACCAAACTCGAAAGCATTACCACCTCCTGGGAGAGGAGAACCAGAAACCTTCACTGAGGCGTTCAAGCGGAAACAAAACATCCTCATTGAGGAGGCTGTGGTAAGACTGTGATCTAAACTTGCCCTAGCTGTTCTTAAAAGCTCACACAAGTTGATCTAAAATAAAGAGACTTACCAATATCTAAAGAGTACATTATTCAAATAGCATCAGAAAAACATACAAACATACAGATTGACAAATGCCCATTAGAAGACAATGCAAATCAATCAAGATCATGCAGTCAGTCAAGTTTCCAAATTAAATAACTTCTTATGGAGAAATATGTTAGATTTGACAAAGATGTCTCTCCAACCAACCCACATCCACCGAAAAAACCAAAAAAAAAAAAAAAAAAAAAAAGAAAAGACACGAGCGCAGGCAAAGGATATAAAAATTTAACTTGATGGTGTTCTACATGGAGCAATAGAGTCCCAAGGGAAGCCAATTCAACAAACTGTGAAACATCATATTCTTTCTCCCAGCAGATGAGTTGAAGCATGCAGCTGCCACGGAACCAGTTCACATCATTTCTTGTGACCGTCTCACGCAACGACTCACTTTCTTCTTAAATTCTTCCCTTCTTTCTCTCCAATCCTTCTGCAATTGGGCATTCAGGAGAATTTAGAAGATATATTAGCAACTAATCAAGGCAGGCTGAACAAGATAAAATCAGTGAATTCAACAGTGTATCATTTAGACATGACAGAACATCTTGCATTTTGGAGCTTTGACTCATTACAAGCAATAGTTTAGTAGTTAATCAACATGACTTGAGCAATGTGAGGTAAAGTAATCAAACAGTGTATAACAAATAATGCGAAGTATCATCCCTCATTTACAGTTGTCTGCCTAAAATCTATAAAACCTAAGTTTAACAATCAGAAAACATTGAAAAATCTTTTCATAAAAACTGTATAGAGATTTGCATTAACATAAACCATGATCACTTAGAATTTCTGGACTTCCCCAACAAAGCAGTGCCCCCCCGCCCCTGCCCCCGCGGGGGTTCACATGCCATTCTTGTTATCTTAATAAAGGAACTGCTATTCAAACAATGCTGTTTGACAAATTCAATGCCTTCGCGGGCCATTCTTTGTTATCTTAATAAGGAAATATCATCTTTCTAGAATCTGAATCTACACCCGCACCCAAAAAAAAAATGAAAAAAGAAAATGAAAAAGCAAAAGCAGCAAACATTGTCCATAAATATATTTCGAGAAATCAGATAGATATTGACACTTACTGCAGCTTCCACATTTGCGGGAGACTCATCATTGGGACTTGAAAGCATTGATATAATGCTCAAAACTATGCTCTCCACCTACAAATAAGTACTTTGTCAATTTGCATTCTACAGAGAGAGCAGCATACAATACTAAAAGGACATGATGATCAAACCAAACACAAATATAACCTGTAAAAGTTGAGCATGATCATCTAGCAGTTAAAACCAATACTAGCAAGAATGAATGAGAACATGGGCATGCTACAACACTTACTGTCCATACGGTAAGCATAGGCTTATATAATAAAACAACATTTCAAAGTGCAAGTTCTTTAGCAATTATCAAGTATGTAGCTAACTTGTACAGTTTGATGGATCATATTCCAAAATATACCAGAATACAGAAATCTGGAGCCAGTGCATTCTAAAACAGAAAGAGCTATTTTTATAAAATCTATCAACCAAAAGCCAGCAAATAAGAGTTGATGCCCGTCTACACCTGAGAAGCAACGCCTTGTTATAGTACAAAACATGGCTTCATCATGAAGGAAAGAAAAGCAAAGCTATAGTTGAATTTTTTTACAAGAAAAGCTATGGCTAAAAATTNAAAAAACCAAAAAAAAAAAAAAAAAAAGATAGAAAAGACACGAGCGCAGGCAAAGGATATAAAAATTTAACTTGATGGTGTTCTACATGGAGCAATAGAGTCCCAAGGGAAGCCAATTCAACAAACTGTGAAACATCATATTCTTTCTCCCAGCAGATGAGTTGAAGCATGCAGCTGCCACGGAACCAGTTCACATCATTTCTTGTGACCGTCTCACGCAACGACTCACTTTCTTCTTAAATTCTTCCCTTCTTTCTCTCCAATCCTTCTGCAATTGGGCATTCAGGAGAATTTAGAAGATATATTAGCAACTAATCAAGGCAGGCTGAACAAGATAAAATCAGTGAATTCAACAGTGTATCATTTAGACATGACAGAACATCTTGCATTTTGGAGCTTTGACTCATTACAAGCAATAGTTTAGTAGTTAATCAACATGACTTGAGCAATGTGAGGTAAAGTAATCAAACAGTGTATAACAAATAATGCGAAGTATCATCCCTCATTTACAGTTGTCTGCCTAAAATCTATAAAACCTAAGTTTAACAATCAGAAAACATTGAAAAATCTTTTCATAAAAACTGTATAGAGATTTGCATTAACATAAACCATGATCACTTAGAATTTCTGGACTTCCCCAACAAAGCAGTGCCCCCCCGCCCCTGCCCCCGCGGGGGTTCACATGCCATTCTTGTTATCTTAATAAAGGAACTGCTATTCAAACAATGCTGTTTGACAAATTCAATGCCTTCGCGGGCCATTCTTTGTTATCTTAATAAGGAAATATCATCTTTCTAGAATCTGAATCTACACCCGCACCCAAAAAAAAAATGAAAAAAGAAAATGAAAAAGCAAAAGCAGCAAACATTGTCCATAAATATATTTCGAGAAATCAGATAGATATTGACACTTACTGCAGCTTCCACATTTGCGGGAGACTCATCATTGGGACTTGAAAGCATTGATATAATGCTCAAAACTATGCTCTCCACCTACAAATAAGTACTTTGTCAATTTGCATTCTACAGAGAGAGCAGCATACAATACTAAAAGGACATGATGATCAAACCAAACACAAATATAACCTGTAAAAGTTGAGCATGATCATCTAGCAGTTAAAACCAATACTAGCAAGAATGAATGAGAACATGGGCATGCTACAACACTTACTGTCCATACGGTAAGCATAGGCTTATATAATAAAACAACATTTCAAAGTGCAAGTTCTTTAGCAATTATCAAGTATGTAGCTAACTTGTACAGTTTGATGGATCATATTCCAAAATATACCAGAATACAGAAATCTGGAGCCAGTGCATTCTAAAACAGAAAGAGCTATTTTTATAAAATCTATCAACCAAAAGCCAGCAAATAAGAGTTGATGCCCGTCTACACCTGAGAAGCAACGCCTTGTTATAGTACAAAACATGGCTTCATCATGAAGGAAAGAAAAGCAAAGCTATAGTTGAATTTTTTTACAAGAAAAGCTATGGCTAAAAATTGCTGTTAGTGTTCCAAAATGTAAGTGTACCATATTTCTGAACAATAGTATCGAAACAAAAGTTGTTAGGGAACTACTGGTTCCTGGTGACCTTAGTTAGACCAATATGAACAAATCCAATCATAAAGTTAGAAGCTACTGGGGCCACCTATAAGATTTTCGACACCAAAACGATTTCACATGTTCATCAATTTGAAATACAACAGGGGACACAAAAGGGCTGCTTTGGAATTGCAGAAGCTCCTTGACATTACACACTCAGCATGGGGGATAAATTAAATAGCTCCTGGCAAATTTTATTTTCCCCGATGGGAAACAAACTTTTATTGATAGACAAAATGAAGTTTTACACTATCCGAACAAAGGTGGACAAGTCGTCCAACCCCACAGCATACAAAGACAAAAAAAGGGCAGCAAAAAAGAAACATTAACCAAAAAAGTGAAAAGCAAACACCAATCCACAGTCCCATCATCCAAAAACTCGCACTGTCTCCCACACGAGGCTAGCCAACTTGACGTGATACGAAAAAGTGATACATCAGCATTAGGTAACTCAAAGACCCAGAAACAAAAAACAATAACAGTAATCCCATCAATAAAGCAAAGAACATTATTTGAGTTACACATATCAACATGATAGTAAAATAAATTCCTCTCTGCTTGATTTATTTTACATATCATACTGGGGCAAGAATCTGAATCCCACTTAACCCCATGCACTCAACACCTATCTTTCGGCAGTGCCATAAGTGCCTAACTTACCAAGATCTCTTAACAAATCTTTGAAGGTACTAACTTTCGGATGCAGGCTAACACTACACCACCGTGCTGCAACAACTCTATAACTATAATTGTAATGCTTCAGTAAAACAGGCCAGCCCACTATAAAATCATAATAAGCATCCAATGAGTACCCCTTAGTAAACAAGACTCAGATTATTCCTTTCTCAACTAAAGAATCTGAATCCCCCTTCGCCCCCATAGTGTCATCAGTATCTAGAGGACTTCTATCCATTCCTTTCTCAACTAAAGAATCTGAATCCCCCTTCAACCCCATAGTGTCATCAGTATCTAGAGGACTTCTATCCATGGTTCCTCCTTACCAACCTCACCTGAGAAATTTTATAAGGTCCTACTTTCAGAAGCAAGCCAAGGCAACACCACTGTGCTACACAAATATTATCAATGTAACTGCAATGCTTTTATAAAAAGAGCTAACCCACCATAACAGCAAAATAAGAACAAAATGAGTACCACTTAATAAGCAAGACTCTTTGACCAAAAAAAAAAATTAAGCAAGACTCATATTATTTCCAACCCAAAACCTTTCTAATATCATTCAACCACAAAAACTTCAATTTGTTGTGAAGAAAAAAAACCCGAATTTACTGTATAGATCTCAACTAGAACTCCATACCTTTCCTTTTCGTTTTCTCTCCAATGTATGTTTCTAATCAGTTAAAAATATATTGACTTCATCTACACCAGATAAGTTGATGAGCTAAAAACAAACACAAAATTGGAGGATCTTTTTCTATTAAATCCAAAATCTGTGATGCAACTCCAACCCAATTGGCTGCATCATTTAGCATTATAAGGTATAGCATTAGGACACAGATCTAAGATAGGTTCTATTTTTTTAAAAAAATATTATAAACGAGAGAAAAGTCAAGGCTCAATAACCAAGTACACCGATTTGTATAGAAAATGAAAAGAACAAGTGGAGAAAGTGCTGTGAGAGTGGATGTATGCATGCTTTTGTGTGTGTGTGTGTGTGTGTTTGGCTTGGGGGGAAGGGTTAAGGGGAAGTAATTAAATTAGCTGCAGTTACAATCAGAAAACAAATTTACATGCAGATGCATGTAAATAATCGGAAAAACTAGCAAGTCACGGATATATTGTTATTGCAATAAATTTTTCACAAGAAGCACACAAATGAAGCAGTAGGAAAGGACTAAGTAACAGCATAAGAAATTCTAACAAGGAACAAAAAAGGAAAAAACAAAGGACCAAAGAAAGAATTAGCCAGCAAATCACCGAGTAGGTTACCAACATCAATTTTGCCTATAAGTATAACAAATAACATAGAAAGACACTTCAGGAAAAAAGGAGAACTAATACATTTGCAATAATTTACTAGTAACACGAGCAAAGAATATATTATGAAGTAAGAAGAAGACCTGAAAGTGATGTGTTTAGTCTTACCGTATGAACAGGTGACCAGCGCTCACTTGCAAGCTCATAGCCATTTGGGTCATCGCCAGGGGGATGAAGAATTGAAATACAGACTTTCCCGTCAGGGTAAACTGTGATCATACAGAAACAATCAAGCAATCAACTGAAGTTGAAAAATAAGGAATAAAAATAACATATAAGTGATTCATATACAACGTACTGACCATTAGGATGCCACATCTCCGAGGTAAATCTCACTGTTGGAGGGCTTTGCGGGTAATTCTGTGGGAAGCTCATGATGGCATTAAAGAAACCTCCATCACTGCAATGTTTAGAAGAAGAGCATTAAGAATCACCTCTCTTCAGAGGGAAAAAAATATGCTAGTGCTGTCTTATAAAGGCATCAACAGAGCTCCTAAGCCACATAATCAGTGTTATGACCGAAATTGCAGAAAAGGCATCAACTTTGCAAATCATATGATGAACCAAGGACATGATCTAATGAATCAAAATCCATTAATTCCCCACAACAGAATTGATTCAATTTCATGCTTAGAGTACTAGCACCCAGCAAAATTATAATACTCTGAACTTTTTCTCATCCTCGTACACTACATAAAGTTCATAAGATCCACATAACCTGACAGATAAAATCTCATTCCGAATTGAATAGGCAATCACCCGAAAATCTACAATCAGACAATGAAGTGCATAATCGCATACCACAATGATAACTTCTGCAATTAGACCAAACCCTAAAACCCAAAAACCCAAACAAGTCACAAACAAACCAACCAAACAACCAAATTCACTTAACCATAACCATAAAACCAGCAAACCCACAAAAAAGTACAAACCTTTATCCAATCAATCCGCACCATAACCAAAAAAATTAAATTCCAAACGCAACACTTCAATTGGAATTAAACACATAAAAATTCAATCATTGAACAATAAAAAGATAAAGTCCTCACTATCTATTGAAATTGACCATATACAAATTCATTGTTTGAACATAGATTAAGGAGAATACTCACTATAAAGTATCTGGGGGCCCAATAATGGTGACGCTCCATTCAAATAGGTTACTTTCATCTACCAACCCGGCCGAAAACCCATCAACTGGTTTTTTACAAAGATCTGTAACAAAAAACACCGATCATCAATCCAATTGTACAATCAAACCTAAAATTCAATCGATCATTGAAGATAAAAAAGAGGTGAATATGTACGATTTGATTGGTACCTTTGAGCTGTTTTTGGAGGAGGAGGCTACCTTGGGAAGCGGAAGCCATAGAAAGATAGAGAGAGAAACAGAAAGACAGAGGGGATAGGAAGGTTCTAGAGTAACTAAAGGGATGGAAGCGAAAGAGAATCAAAGATTACTACTATGTATGCCGACAGGGTCCTTGTTCTATATATATCAACAAGGGGAGAGAGAGGAGAGAGGAGAGAGGAGAGAGGAGAGAGTTCTATTTAGGAAAGGAAATAGGTAGAACGAAGGATTTACTGCAGGTGTGTGTTGTTACATTGAAGGATAATTTTTATATTAAAAGAGAGGGTGGAATTTAATTTATTTTTTAAATTTGAGAAAAATATGTTTGATTTATTTGTTTCCCCCCATTTTTAATTATTCATGTCCACAAAGATTTAATCTTCAAATTTTTTATAATTTTGTAATTTTTATTAGCAATGCCTCAATGATGTGTGTTACAAGTAAACATATTTAAATAATAAATTATGTGTCGAATAATTAATTTTATTTTAATTATTAATTTATCATGACTTTTTTTGAATATTTAATTTGTTATTTTTTAAGTTATTTTTAGGCCCCTTTAGACATCTTTGATTTATTTTTTAATTTTTAGTATTTATACATCTAATTATGTTATAGATTTATTATATTTTTTTGTCAAAGATATTGCTCAAATTATAATATTATTGGTTGTATTATAATATTATGATATTTTTACATACCAAACAAGTTAAATATGACAAATATTTGGGTGTAGAATCTGATTTGTCAACTACATGTATATAATAATAGAATATATATTTAATTTTACTTTTTCATATAAATATATACATAGATATATAAAATTATATATAAATGTCCTAGTAATAAAAAAAGTTCAAAAGAATTTAGAAGTAGAATAATATTATTAAAAAGACTCCACAAAAACTTGTAAGTCAAATATGTATAGCAAACAAAAATTATATGAAAGTAAATATGTGGGTGTGACTTTATAATAATAATTAGGAATAAAAAAATTAAAAATTCTTTATAGATATTGACATTTATTATTAGTGTATATATATATATTCTTTTGTGCCAATCACATGAAATCAAAATTACCTTTTTTTTAGGTGTGGTTTTTATTATCAATGATTGTAAATTTATCACGAATGTATTTATATAAAACAAACAAATTAAAAAAAAATGCTTTGAGAAATCTTTCTCCTTATTTTTTAAATTGCTAAAATTTTGATTTTTTTATCACTAAATTAAAGCTTTTTTTTCCAATCATCGTTTAACTCTTTGAATGCTATGATTTTTCTTCACCAACTAATAACTATTCATTTATATTTTTTCAAAAAAATTTAGTTTTTGCCCTTCATAACTTTTCATAATTTGCAAACCTTCTCATCGAGTTAATAAGGGTGGCAGAGAGGAGAATGGTAAAGAACAGCGCCGGATCCACAGCTGGGGCAGCTATCTCATTGAGAATTTTAAAAAATTTGGGAATTAAGTATAATTTTAAAAAATTTAGAATTTATTAGAGATTTGCCCTATTGAATTTTTTTTAAAAGATTTAAGGGTAGTTACATTATTTTAACAAATATATGAGTTTCACTTATAAATATCAATGAAAGATGATATCGAAAATTTAGAGATTTAAAAATTAACTAATATGTTGCAAAATAGGTTAGCCTCTCCTCTTTTTTATGTTTATAAATTGAACTATATTTGGGACTTCTAGTCCTCTTTTTTGTTTTATGTTTATATGTTAGAATTGAAAATTAGGATTTGTAGTCCTCATTCATAATTTATTTTTTACTTGTTGAATTAAAATTAGCACCTGTAACTCTCTGTTATATTTTGTTTGTTACGTGTTGAATTGAAAATATGAAAGTGGGACTTGTAATCATTTCTTATGTTTTATTTTTTATATATTGAATTGAAATTGGGATTTGTAGTCCTGTATTTATTTTTTTATATTGAAATAAAATTGGAGCTTGTAATTATCTTCTATGATTTATTTTTTTTATATATTTAATTGATATTTGAGTTTGTAGTCCTCTCTAGTGTTTTATTTTTATATGTTGAATTAGAATTAGGATGTGTAGTCGTCTCATATGTTTTATTTTTATTTGTAGAATTGAAATTGGAACTTGTAATCCTCCATCATAATTAGACTAAATTATTTTGATTTGGTAGTTTGAATAATTTTATTGTGATAAGTTAATTACTTTATATACCTAGGTTTAGTTTACTAGAATAATTATAATTTAAGTTAGTTATATTGTTTGTTAAAATTTATTGATGAATATTAAACTTGTGATTGAACAAATTAATTTTTGAATTAGTTATGAAATTTTTTCTTAAAATTTAATATATGATTAAGCTCAATTTTGCGGTTCAATTTTTTTTTGTTAGGTCTTATAAATAAATTTATGGTGAATTTTTTTTTTTTTTGTTGACTCTTTTTTTATATCGTTCGTGTATATGAATTGCGTCTTTAATTTGTGTTGTATTATTGAAATTATACTTTTGTAAACATTTAAAATTTATATAATTTAAGTTGTCTGTTAGAGAAGATGTCCGACTCCGCCCCTTGTAAAGGAGAAGAAACGAAGAGAGAAGACAAGATACAAGATTGTGAATCTTGCGCATTGCACAAGGATAGTTCTACATACTAAAAAGTAAAAACTGACAAAACAAATGTTTCTCGTACATAGTTGTAAAAAAAGAAGAAGGAGAAGCCTAACACTAATTTTCTACATGAAGATTGAACCCAGCACACCTTGTAAAAGATAAAAGACATAGGGATGATTTCTTTGGTTCTCAATCCTATTAAATGCATTATAAGAAAGATTTATTTGATATGAAAAAGTCATTGGTGTGCTATTCCAGATGAAATTTGCTACTGCAACCTTTAGGAATTTTTGCATTATTCCATATGATTTTTTTTATTTTTTTTAGTGTAAATTTCACTAACCCCCCTTGTATATAAGCATAATTTTAGAAATATCCCTTGTATTTTTTAAAATATCACTGACACCCCTTGTCAGCAATTATCGAGTATAGATATCTATATAACAAAGCATTTAGCAACTTGAATTTTTATACCTTACATATTTTCTCTTCTAAAAATATCACATCATTTATTTTTATCATATATTCAACATAACATAATTTTTATTTTAGACATTATTTATATACGATAGTATATACAACTTGAGAAAATTTTGTCGAATTATATATTTTGAGAAATTTTTGTCGATATTTTTAAGAAAATAATAGGTAAAAATAAATTTTAAATGATGTGATTAAAGAAAATTTGTTATTTAATATAGTGTGATTGATTTTTTGGGCACTTGAATTATATATTTTATCGTGTCTTGTAGCACATATTATGACTATATATGTGTAAGTTACTAATGCCTACCCACCTTTGCACCAAATTAACATCAAATTAATATCAATTAGAACTTATTTCATCCGGTTAACACTTAACTTCATTAATTCAAATATTAATTTTATCACACAAACACTAATTTCATCAATTTAACACTAAACTAATATTTAATTTCATCAAATTCATATTCGATTTCAACACTAATTTCATTAATTTAACACCAAATTAATATTTGATTTCATCAAATTTATATTCAATTTCTTCTTAATTTTGTCAAATTAACATTCAATTTATTTAATTTAGAATTTAGTTTCATCAAATTAACATCAAATTGAACTTTAATTTCATCAAATTAATATTTAATTTCATTAATTCAAATATTAATTTTGTCATAGTAACACTAATTTTATCAATTTAACACTAAATTAATATTTAATTTAGAATTTAGTTTCATCAAATTAAAATCAAATTAAACTTCACTTTCATCAAATTGACATTTAATTTCATCAATTCAAATATTAATTTCAATTAATATTAATAATGATAATGACCAAGGCTTAGATCACTATGATATAGTTGCCTTGTGAGTGTTTCTTGAGGTTGCTGGTGAGTATCATTGTTAGGGGAGGTAACTAGCTTATAGAGGATTACCATTCTACTATAACAATTTTGAGTTTTTTAATTTATTTTATTTTATTTTATTTTGACATCATTGGATGTAGATCTGCTACACCATTTGTCATATAGGTCGGCAATAGATGTTAGTGTGTGGACGGAAGAGGGAGAGAAAGATAAGGAGAGAGGGAGAGAAAGATAGGAAAGGGAGAGAGAAAGATTCTTTAATGTAGAAGGGTACAATTAGAATTAATGGAAAAATATACTCTTTTTTGACTTTTTAGCAATGGCTTAAGCGGTAGGGGTACTAATTGAAACAATTCTATAAATTATAAGGGAATGCAGTAATATTTCAAAAAGATAGGGGTATCTCTGAAATAATATTTATATACAGGTGTGTTTGTGAAATTTACCCATTTTTTTTATTATGCTAAAAGCTACACTTGTTTGACCAGTTAGCCTAGATTAGATATTTTCGAAGGGGAAATTTTTTAAAGAAAAGTCATAAAGAAAGTTAAACAAAAAAAAATCTGAATTATCAATTTTTTTTAGTCAAGGTAGTAGCACATAAATTCTGGGAGAAAAAAATTTAGACAATTTTTGTTAGTTTTGCGTAGCCGTGATTCGATATAGCATATCCGCATCAGTATACCGTCTTTACAGACCAAAAATTATTACCGTTAAAATATAACACAAACTTATCCAAATATAATTTGATTTTTAAGTTTTTTTTACCATATATCTAATATATACATATTCATTGTAGAAAAATGCTATATAACCCAAATAAAATTGAAAAATTTAAATTTAAATGTATATCATCCCTTATATGAGTGTGAGTTGAGTGAGTCCTATTGAAAAAATTAATGAGGCTCAATCATCTTAGGAATGATATGCATTTGAGTTACAATTTTTTGGATTTCATTTGAGTTTCGTAGAATTGCACTTCATGGTATACTAGGATTCTTCTAATTTATTTCTTGTTTGATTTTGTCTCTAATAAACCTATTTAATGAATTTTAGGACTTTTTCAAAAAAAAAATCTATTTGATGTGGGGTTCTTTTTCCGATTCGTTTTCTATATGTGCTTGTGATCAAATTCTTTATTCTTCAGCCCCATCCACAACAATCTATGATTTTATTCCCTTTGTAAAGTCATATTGATAACTTTGCATGAACTGCAAAAGCATATGTGTAAAAGAT